GACTCCACAGCACACCACCACCACCATGCATGTAGACAAAAATATTTTACCCACATAATGCTAATTGCTATATGTATGTGTGCGCATATATTGTTTAAAAGCACTCTGGTGGCACAGTGGTTAAAGCACCTTTAGGACGCAACTCGACAGCAACAGGTTTTTTGTTAGTCTTTAATCTTTTAGGTCAAAAGTTGTTTACTGTCGTGAGGCCCATGATTTTAGCAAAAAGGTAGGAAATTTACCCACCTTGTGTAAGTTACTATGCCTACATGAAAAATATTAGAACCCCAATGTTAAACCTATATCCTAACAAAATGCAAATCTGGAGGAGGAATAGCTCTACTACAGGAGCAACATAAAAGATCTATATACCTCTACTATGTTGTCATTCTCTTCTTACATCTGTGACGGAATTTGACACAAAATGGGCCCAGACTCCAGGAAACTTACTAATCTGAGCATCACAAATATTTAGGATTACAGTTCAATATTTTCAGAGACAGAATATTCAATTTATAGATTTAGCAAAACAAGGAATTTTTCACATTTCACATCATAAAAGAGATTTTAAAAAGGCTCTAACATTGATTTGTTAGCATCTCTTGTGTTGGTGTTGTGGTGACTCTGTTTCATTTGATTATTATGCATTTAAAGAACCTCCTAAGTGTCTGACCCTGAAGATTTGATACCTTGGCTGTTGTCTGATAAGAAAGATGCTTCTTGTTTCTGAGTTATGTCAACTGATGAGACAGAATGGGTAAAGTATTTGTGATTTTAGGAATCATTCTCAAAATAGAGTATGCGTTCATTACAAAATAGTGTCTTCTTACTACTTTATTTTAAATACTAAAAATATACTTTGATTCAGATTAGACAGTCATAAAAGGGATCTTTGTTGATTTCTTTCTTTGTAAGATTCAAGAAAGTTCAGCTTTATTCATGGGAAGACGGAAACCCGAAGACATGAAGTGAGTCCCTAGCCTCAGCACTCCTAAGCCTGGTTTGTTCTATCTCCCTGCTTTTAGCTGGCTGTAAAATTTAAAGGTCAAGCAGTTCTAAAATGTAGCCCAGATATTCCATGTAAACTGTCAATCATTCTGATTTAAAATGGAATGTTTTCATAGTAATTTTTCTTTCACAGCATTATATTTCACCGTTAAAAAATATATGTAACACCTTGTTCATTCTGCAGTTTAGTTGCCATGATTTCTTAGCACCTGCAAGCTCTGCAAGACAGTTACTGTGAATTCTTAATAAACAATGTTTGTTAACAATTTATGGCGTAATACTAGTTAGAACTTCAGTGGTTTTGCTTTTGTGATCTTTGTTGTCTAAAGGGGACATTGTATACTAAGAATTAAACATTTGTGCACCTACATCTGGAGTTTGGGAGAATGATTTGAGTTCTGAAACAATGTAAGTGACAAGATGATCTAGTTATTGTTAAGTGCTGTCTGTTAGGTTCAGACTCATAGTGAACCTCCTGTATAGGGTTTCCAAGAAGCAGCTGGTGGTTTTGAACCACCAACCCTGTAGTTAGTTCACAGTCCAGTGCTGATCCTATAGTGCCACACCAGAAGTCCAGGTTGATCTTAGGTATCTGTGTTGTTTAGCTCTTTGCAAAATCATTGCCCATGTATGTTGTTAGGTGGATTTCAACTTATAGTTACCCTGTGTGACAGTATGAATTGCCTCATAGGTTTTCCTAAACTGGATTGCCATGTCTTCCATGGGGACATTGCTTGGGGCCTAACCGCTAACCTTTCAGTTAGCAGCTAAGGTTAGGCCCCAGGGCTTCACCATTGCACTACCAGGGCTCCCTGTGTTCAAAGCAATTCCATAATTGCCATGGTATTTAAGGGCACACATATGCATTGCATAGCAACCAAATCATTGTCCAGGTATTGTGACTCAAGCAGGACACAAACAGTAAACAAAGATGTGGGCCTACTTCACTGCTTTGGATGTGTGTTGCCCTGCTTCGTCCTGCTAATAATGTTGCTCTGCAGAAGTCTTATTTCCTCCTGGAAGTTTCTGGAGCGTGATGCAGGAAACTAGATTAGTAGCAGAACCCTGGAGAGAAACACATTCAAAGCTTTGAAAGTCTGCTTCCATCTTTGCTTCAGATGCAGCTATTGGTTTCCTCTCTGAGTCAAAATGCTGTGGGAAATGGGTTTCATTGCTATGCAATGCATTCTTGGCCCTTGGTTTACAATGGCAATTACTGAACCTATTCAAAGCCCTGGTTTTACATTCTTTACTAATGACAAAGGAGTTCTCCTGTGGCACTGTAGAATAAGCTCTGGGCCAGTAGCTGCAAGGTCAATAGTTCAAACCCACCAGCCACTCCTTGGAAACCCTGGACAGGGTTGCTATGAGTTGGGACCTACTACAGGACACTTAGTAACAACAATTAGTAAGGACTCCTGGAGTGGCGCTGTAGGATCAGTACTGGACTGTGGAGCACAAAGTTGGCGGTTCAAACTCGCCAACTGCAACTGCTCCTCAGAAACCCTATACAGAATTGCTAATAACAACAAGAAATGACAACTAATACGGAGTCCTGATGTTGCATTGTAGGATAAGGGCTGGACTGCTACCAGCCACTCAGAAAACCTATACAGGATCACTATGCGTTGGGACTGACTCCACTGCACCGAACAACAAAAGGAGTCCTGGTGGCACAGTGGTTAAAATGCT